GAAATTTCAAACAAAAAAAAATCATTGAAAATCTTTAACCGTATCGCCGTCGAACCATAATTTGCATAAGGAGCACTGCTTTAAACTTAAATTTACCAATTTTCGTTTGTAAAGGAAATATTTGTGTAGGCGTTTAATTCTCAAACAATTTCGCAAGATACATTTTTGTAGCTGTAGTAATTTATTTCAAAATGTATGCATTTATATGGTTATACCTGACTAAACAATGAGCTAGATATTAAACTCTTAAATCATGACCTGTATAGAACTACCCACTTTAGTTTATTTGTTTATACCCATGGTCAGTTATATCTGGGCGATGTCTTTGTAAACTTTTCTACAAATGACCGACTACATGCATAACTATGAGAGACAAATGATCATACGACTCAGCAACACAGCAAAACTGCGCGCATATATTTGATAAGTGTATACAAATTAACAAAAATATTTGAGAATTAACAAAATATATTTCAGGATTAACAAAAATATTTGAGAAATTAGACATCTAGCTGCATATAAAGCAATCGAACTCTACACAAAGATTGATTCAACTGTTTACTTTAAAATTAAGAAATAGATAATTTGAAACTACGTTATAATTAAGACGTTTATAATCAAATCCACATACGAGTATACCCGAAAAATAAAATTTCAAAATCAAGTCAATATGGCAAATTGAGTAAATGTGCTCATGTTCTTGTTCTGGCTAGATAATTGCCATAAAACAGATGACAAAGGGCGTTCAATTATGCTGTCATACATAACTTCAATACAAACTAGGGAGGCTACGCGATAATTGAATTGTGGTTAAATATAAAGACAAAATGTAAGGACTTTGTAAATATCTCCATTAGCGAAGTGACTGTTGACCTAAGATTTGATGTGATTATATTGACATGTCTATCCATTTCGAAAATTCATAGCATCTGTTTATTAGATCTAGTTAGATAAAATTCAACATGGTTGTCACCCGAATCTTTTCACTGTCGTTTCGTTTTCTTCTTAATCTTTTCTTTTAAAAAATGAAAGCATTACAATTAATATGCATGTATTTATAAGGCAACCTACATGTAGCTAGCTGCAAAACATATATTTTCTTTCTTTCAACATCATTTTCATATTATGTGATACAAAATAAAGAATGACATATCTATTATCCCGATTGGCGTTTCAAAGTTGTGATACCTATGAAAATAATAATAGACTGTCTGAGATTCATAATATAACATCCATAGGCCAAAATGTGTTTACAACACTTTATTACATGCTTTTCGGTGGTTTATAGAAATATATCAGTGATATAAAACTGGTAATTTCACTGTTTTAAACAGTGAAATTATCAATTTGATAATTTCACTGTTTTGAATTTTAGCCCCTTACGTTGTTTCAGTGAAATACCAGCGTGCACAGTACTGGGAACCAACTTAATGACGTGACGTCGTAAATGACGTCACGTTGTTTTATTATTTGGCGCGCTTTTCATTCAGTATTAGGTTTAATGTCTTTTTAAAACGTTTCTTTGCATATAATAAAAAGAAAATTTGTTTAGTTTAGTGTAAGATCGAAATATATTTCACCTTGTGAACACCAAAAGTTCATATTTCACTCGTGGCTGCGCCACTCGTGAAATTTACCTTTTGGTGCTCACTCGGTGAAATATATTCCGATCTTACACTGAACTAAACAAATATCCTCTATATCCTTGTTGATACTCGATTAAAATTTTTCATTAATTTAGAACATGTTCTTCCGCAATAATTGTAACAATCAAGCCTACCATGTTTTGATCAAATCTGAACCATTACCACTGCATATTAAGTGTTTTAAGCCGATATTTGTGTAAGTACAGAACAAGTATTCGTAAAGCGTAATTATTTAAGTAGGATAAAGGTATACTTCACTTTTAGCGACTTGACATTTAACATGATTGCAATTGTCATCAGATTTCACGACATTCAATTGGTCAAAAATTTAGGTCAAACTATAATTTGTATTGATTTTCCCATAGACTCATAATGAGAAATGGTCCCTAAATCTACATTAAAATGCTAACACGTTGCATGTAGCTTAATTAACTGCCAACCATAAAAATTGCCAATCAAAATGATCATAGAATAAGAACGCACTTAAAATTTGCCTGTGGACTATTCTCCCCCTAACCAATTACTTCCCTAATGTTTCCTTCCTGAGTGACTTACCAGTTTTTCCCTGAAGTTTCCTTCTCCCTGACTGTTTTCCCTCTATTCTGCGGGAGAACTTTCTGCATTTGTGCAATATTTGCAAAATACATACATGTCGCGGTTCAGAACTGTTTACTAATTATGGGAGAAAATGTGTAAGCGGCCGGATAGCTCAGTCGGTAGAGCCGCGAAACGGTATTCCGAGGGTCCCGGGTTCGAGTCCCGGTCAGGCTGCACATTTTTCTCACCCTGTGACATTTGGCGCCCAACGGGGGACCGTGACTAATACATCTCAGAGTTTAATTTACATTGCTCTGTAACTCTGTTGAATTCGAGGACGAATTTCAATTTAGCAGGGGAGTATGTCACGGTTTAGAACTGTTCACTAATTCAGTCTGCTGACTGTTTATAGATTTAAGCTTTGACAACATTGGCTGGTGTTTGCTGATATTAAGGCAATTGATTGTTTAACAGTACTATATAGGCAGTCTGTGTAAGATTCACAAGCAAAATTGTATTGAGATATGTAAAAGTGCTTATTTAGAATTTTAATAGCGACAATATTTATATAAGTGTGGTGTTAGAGTAACACACCTCAAAACCAGGTTAGGATATATACTAATTTATATCAGTCTTCTAGTTTATGTCAACAATTGATCTTCATAAGTAAGGTACAATGTATCTGGAAAGTCTTCTGCAGGCTAAGGGCATCATCTTGCATCCATTAGTGGAAGTTTTGGAGTCATTTACTCCTAATTTTGGCGTGTGACTTCAAAAATTTAGAGATTTTCTTTCTTTACCTATATCATGTGACTTCCAATATGAGACTTTTTCTGTCTTCCAAATTTTGGAACTAAGTGAAGCCCTGTTTTGAAATGCTTTCATTATGATACACGAAAACAAAAGATGTTTTCAAGAACCCTGTCTTATTGATTGCTCCTTAGGTGATGATGGTTCGGAAGCAAAATTTGAATTTTTCTGTTTTCTATGTTAAATACAGTTTGAGCCAAGTTAAAGCTCTTGAAAATACCTGCTTTTAATGAATAATACTTAATCAATATCTTTTTAGTTAGTATTGATTCCTGTTCACACAGTGTCTTATGCTTATTAATTTGTAGATACTAAGACTTATTTAAGGGGTACACAGCTCACACATGAACAAAAAAAAGCCCTGCTTACCAGTATATGTTATTTGCATTTTGTTAAGTAACTGTCAACATTTTTTTATTATTTTGTATTATATTACTACACAAGTTATTTTAGCGATGATATCCCTCTTTTCAGTCTTAAGGTTTTTCAGAGCATTTACACACATCCTCTTGGCAATTTTTGTATAAAGTACCAAATTTATATGAGAGATTCAATGAACATGAAAGTATTAAAATTATCTAAAATTAAAAGTTATGACTATTGTATTTTTACAGTGCACATTAACAAGAATGGGAGAAGTGTACCAGTACCATATTACAATGTTGGTCACTGATGAACAGGTGGATGCTATCAGAGCCTTTTTTAAAGAGAAAAACTGGCCATGCTGGCTAAAAGGTAAGGATTGTATTAAATCTAGAGGATAAATTATGTCGAAAGAACATTGATGTTATAAGGTAAAATTTTGGCTTGAAATGAAATTCATCCCCTCTGCATAAGACTATAAAAATAGTGTCCATGAAGAATTGTCTAACCTCTTCTTTTAATAATATCAGTCAACCAAGAACCCATTTACATTTGTATGTGAACATTTTGTAATTTGTAATACACAGTGAGGTTTGTAAATTTTGCATTCGGTTACTTGACTTAGCGGAATCGGCCGAATTACCAGAATAGACAGGAATAGGCGGGGAATTACCGGAATCAACCTGTAATTTTGTTATTAATGAACTTTTAAAGAATAGTCTTGCACATTTTATAAGATATAAACATAATCAATTTGAAACTTAGAATTGATTCTACTGAATGATTGTATAATACATTATTTTCATTTAGTATTTTTACTTTAGTGTCTTTTAACTTCAAACACACCTGACATCATTTTCATACCTAGCAAATCCAAATGACCTCTCGCTCTTTCAGTGTTAACAGATGAAAATGTAGCTGGACTAGTTCAGGGTGGATTTACAGATTTATTCCCAATCATGGCAGCCGGACAAGATGGCGGCATTGGACATTCTATATTTACAGAGATCAAATCTGAAATTGTTGATATAGATGAAGACTCCACTTCGTCCGAGAGAGTGAATGATTTACCGAAGAAGATAGAACCACCAGAGATCTCTGATGATGATGAAAATACAATGGATTATGATATGATGTGTTCAAAGGAGATAGATTCTGGTTCTGAAAGTAACACAAAATCAAATGAAAAAAATGAAACAAGTACAACATGGAAAATTTCTATTTCCGAAGTAAAGGACAATGATGGAAAAGGATCATCGAACAAATTAAAGTGTCCTTTATGTGAAACTACGTGTGTAACAAAAACCATTCTAAAAAGACACTTCAAAAGGCGGCACAAAGGTAAAAAATGGCTTGATGTTGAATGCTCTGATTGCAAGGAAAGGTTTACAACAAGTAAGTATATCATTATATGATATTTTAATTCTGAAACTGAAGTGACTGAAAGTGATTTTCTTTTCACACTAGTAAAGGGCCATGCAAGTCTGCCTTAAGTTTACAACTTCTCTGGCCAGAATCTAGATGTATACTGTTCAATGTTGGTAGCTAATTTTTGGCTTGGTTGAATAAGTGCAAATCCGGGTTATAGTATAGTGAATGTGGGGTGGCATACAGGCAGGGAAATAATTTTGTAACAGTTTTCTCAGCAACTACTGATCACAACCTCTTGATATTTGGTATAAGCATTAACATGTAGTCCCATACCATGGGAATCAATTTTTCAGGTCTGTCACTCATCCATTTCCTGTTTAGCAATTTTGTTAAATTTTCAACATAAATTGTCAATGGTAGACAATTTTTGTAACATCACATAGAGCCTTATGATAATTGGTATACAAATGCAACCTTGAACGCGGCCATTGATCACTGTGGGTGCTGCTTGAATTCAAATATGAACAATGTCTGATTCATTTGTAGAGGAAGAACTTTGGGAACATAGAAGAGAAGTGAACCATGACCCTCCAAAAGAAAAAACAAATATGGTTTCAGTCAACCAGCTTACGCCAGAAGAACGTATAAGATTGGGTCATTTGAAGTGTCAAATTTGTGCAAACTTTTATCCGCACAAACGATCGCTGAGACGACATATGAACAAAGTCCACAAAGATGTGCTTCCGAAATGGAACTGTCCTATTTGTGACACTGAATTTGAAAATCGTAAGTTTTAAATTGAATAAAGTAAGGGTACCATTTTTTAATGACTTTTCTGTATTGAACTTTGGGTCATTTTAGTCGCTATTTATCCCTTTTAACCTTTGGCCAGCTGCAGGCAACTGATTTCTACTAATGGGACCAATGCAGACCAAGATCAACTGGCACAGCGGTGCTGTCTCATCTTAGTTTAATGTTTGATATTTATTCACAATATTTCAACTTCCTTTTAGAACAGCACGCCCTCAGATATATGTTAATTTTCATGAAAATTTTGGAAATGTATTTAAAAGTAAAATATTGTGAGTTGAGCAAATATAGTAATTTACATATTGCAATCAGGCACTTACAATCCAAAAAAATTACCAAAAAAGTCGTCAACATATGCAAAAATAGCGTTTACTAACAGTGTTAGTGAAGCAGTAGAAATATGATTATAAAACACTGCAAAATCAGTCTTAAACTGCACATAACATGAAAAATGTAACTTGGATCTTAAATGTTTTACCTTTCTTAAAACATTAGTACATTTTTCTCAATATTAATTTCTTGAAATATTTTGGCTCATCTGGAGGCGTGCAGCTTTAAAAGTCATACAAAAATCCACTTTTCATCAGGTTTTTGCATTACTTGATATTGTATCATTCCTATGTGTACTTAACAAAACAAAGATATACCCTGTATTTAATGACCTGGCAACAAAAATATTATTGGAAAATTCAAGCTATAATTATACCCCCGCACAACAAAGTTGTAAGGGGGGTATACTGGAATCAGATTGTCCATCCGGCCGTCCGGAGTCCGGCGTTTTTTTCTTGTCCGCCCAATAACTTAAGATTCCTTTGACCCACAGTCTTCATATTTGGCATGGAGGTTAGTCGTGATTACTAGATGACCCCTATTGATTTTGAGGTCACCAGGTCAAAGGTCAAGGTCACAGGGGCCTTGACTTCAAAAAGCTTGTCCGCCCAATAACTTAAGACTCCTTTGACCCACAGTCTTCATAAATTGGCATAGAGGTTAGTCATGATAAGAAGATGACTCCTATTGATTTTGAGGTCACCAGGTCAAAGGTCAAGGTCGCAGGGGCCTTGACTTCAAAAAGCTTGTCCGCCCAATAACTTAAGATTCCTTTGACCCACAGTCTTCATATTTGGCATGGGGGTTAGTCATGATAAGTAGATGACCCCTATCAATTTTGAGGTCACCAGGTCAAAGTCACAGGGGCCTTGACATCAAAAAGCTTTTCCGCCCAATAACTTAAGATTCCTATGACCCACAGTCTTCATATTTGGCATGGAGGTTAGTCGTGATAAGTAGATGACCCCTATTGATTTTGAGGTCACAGGGTCAAAGGTCAAGGTCACAGGGACCTTGTCAAAATAAAGCTTTTCCCCTCAATTGCTTCAGAATGCCTAACCAGAGTGTATTGATTTTGACATTTTCACATTTGAAGCATGTAGAATACATAACTTAGCAATGCACTGGCTTAGTCACCTCACATTTTGCAGGGAGGTTGTCCTTGAGTTCTAAATGGCCACTGTTGATTCTGACAAAGTGGTATGCGGGGGTATTCACGCCATGATAGTGGCAGTTCTAGTTATAATAGCTGTAATTTCATAATTTCAGACATGTTTCAGTTTGTTTTGTTGCATCAAGCGCTCAAATTTGTTACAACATTTTAAAGGTTTATATAATTGTATTTATTTGGTGGTATGTTTTTTTTAATGGAAATTTTATTTTATTTTTAATACTATAGGTGATGCATTATGGAAGCATAAGCGTGAATCAGGGCACAAAACAAATATATGGGCACTAGGCAACTATCAGTGCGACTCTTGCGGAAAAATATACACAAGATATGATTCTTTCCAGGAGCACAAACTTTCTTGCGAAAAAACTGAGAGTGAAAAACAAGCAAGCTGTAAGTATCCATGTGATATCTGCGGTTTGTTGTTCAAATCCATGCTCCGCGTCAAATCTCATAAACGTGGTGTTCATACAGTAGCCCCCGTGGTTTGCCACGTTTGTGGGGCAATGTGCAAGAACAAACGTGCGTTACTTGTTCATCGTAGGAGGCATGATATGAAGAATAAGAAATATGTTTGTGATGACTGCGGAAAATCCTTTTTTAACAGCACACTTTTAGCTCAGCATGTCCGTACCCACACTAAAGAGAAACCATACAAATGTCCGCTGTGTAACTATGCCTGTGCTATTAAGCAAAATATTCATAAGCATTCGATGAAGGTTCATAAAACACAATGCAAAGCTGTTTGCCTAGATGATGTCAAAGACCAAGCTGAGGAGGCATCCAATGAAACATTATTACAATCTCAATCACAGAAATTACGAGACCGACAGTTACCTGAAGTGTCAGGTAGTATGGTGTCCGATAAGAGTCATAATCCGCCATTGGAAAACACCTGTAATTCAAAGTATTTCCCACAAGAAAGTATGGTGGCTGATAGCAGACATGGTAAAAATTCAAGAAATTCCTTTGGCTCGGAAACTATGGTGACAAATAATGGACAGAATTTGAATGAGTTCCAGGAAGTTTTGGATTACAGTGTGAACACACAACCTCTTACACATGGGAATTTTCAGCATCAGTATCAGTGAAATAATTTACATTTCAGCCTATCGTTTTTGTTAAATGTGTAAATGTATATAAGTATGTAAGGGCTCACTTGATTGAACAAATGGAAAATGGGAACATACAGTAAAAATTAAGAGGAATTTAAAAGTTCATTAAATTGGCATGAAAATAAAATGGAAATAGTAGATCAAGTATGATTTAGAATTTTATTTCAATATATTGAATGATATCAGGTAAGATGATACATGATTTTGTACTGGTCCGGGCATTTAAAACGCACAGTTGGTGTCCTATCTTAACCCAGATCAAATAATTGAAAATAGTATTTTATATTTACATGTTTTTGACTTATGAATAGATTGTTGTTAATGTTTCTTGAATATACAGTTGTATAGTTTTTTTTTAATAAAAAATACTCAGATTATAGTAAAATGATATGGTTTCATGGCCTGATTTTTTGCAAAGCTTATCTCCCTTGACAAAAATCTAATTTTGGGAGTTATTATTCAGTATTTTATGTATAAAGATATTATTCACAAAATATGAAAATAGGCAAAGTAAAGAGATTGTTTTAGGTGAATTGTCAGTCTTTAGATAATTATGTGAATATTAACTAACATGAAATGAAGGAATTGTGAGAATTTTTTATCTATTAATGATACAATATTGGGAATGACCCTCAAAATAGTGACCAGGGGAGGTCATGCATGATATATGAAAAGTGTCTATTACTTATTACAGATATCTTTAAAGTTGTTAAGAGGTTTCATGAAGATGATTAATTTGTAAGGATTTTTACATGTATATAAATTATTGGGAATGACCACAAAATTGTGTCCAATTGAGGTAATGCATTACAGCTAATTCATAAGAAACTGAATGGTTTTGATTGTTTTACATGTGGCAGCTATCAAGCTGGAAAAGTTGATTATGTGTTGATTCAATTTCATTACAATGAACAATGTTATTTTTGTATATTGTGTTTATGTGGAGCTGTGTAACTGTTCTGTTGTTAAGTGTACTGGGAATGAGTGAGGTATGGAATAGTTTGAGGCTTGTCTATTAAATACATCTACAAATGTATATGTTTGGGAATATATTTGAACATGATAAAAATGGTTTAGCTTCTTAACATGCTCTTGCATTCTTTGGTATAGAAGCTTCTTTGCTTAAAGGCCCATTACGCTTAAAAATGGTAATATTTTCATTTTTCAAAGTTTTTACTTTTTTTTTGGTGTTTATTATTCATTATAGGCATATAGATGAGCCATCTTGTGCTTCCTTTATGTTTTGGCAATTAGTACAGTTCTAGCGATTGAATGTTTTGTATGGAAGTCAAAATACTACTGTACTACTGTTATCAGAAATGATTTTTCATTCAAAGCTTTTTACTTCTAGTGATAAACATCTAAAGTGTTCTAATCCATAATGCTAGTACTGTCAGCAGCAGCTGCTTACGGTAGCTGTATTTTTATATTTAAACAAAATATAGATGGTTCTAAATTGAATGTACAAATGTTGGTCCATAACACAAGAATAAGAAAGGAAAAGAGTTTTGGAATCTGTTTACTTGTTATTGAAAGTTTTTTTATGAAACAAAAGCATTGGAGATTTCAGGTTGTGAAGAAATTATAAAGTTATGAAATATTGAAGTTTATGTACTGAAAATTTATAAATAATCAAGCTTTTCTCAAGCTTATGATAAAAAATGAATAATTATACCTTTTCATAAAAGAAAAATTATTTAAAATAGATTTGATAGGCATATGAGTTGACTGTTAAAATCTAAAGACATTTTACTGGTGTCATATGAAGAAACATGGTCATGACCTGAGTAGGGCTCGAACCCATGATCTCTGGGTTGAGAGGCAGACACCTTAACCACTAGGCCACCGCTCCCCTTAAAGGTCTTTTGAAAGTATGATATGATTGCTTCATTTTTTTGTTACATACACATTCTAGGTTCTCTGTGTTTAAATAATCAAAAACACAGGTTGTTATATTAGTTTGTCAATTTTTATATACTTTTACTCTTATTTTTCTTTTTTAAAGAGCAGGAAAAAGTTTTAACTTTATTTTACAACGAATGAAATTACTTTATATAAATTCTTGATTGCTTAAACAATTCACAAAATACCTTCCTTTTGAAATACCTTGGAACTAACCTTGCTTTTGAAGTATTTTGAGACTTAATCTGTAGCTAATAAAATTCTACAATATTTATACGTACATGTATTTATATATCAATCATGTTGGCATCTGTTTAACCTTTACTTTGATATGAATCGTAATCATGACCTCAGATTAAGCAAATTAATTTTTTTATTTCCATTCAGTCAAACATTAACCATTAAGACATTTTGTCAGCCATCACTGCTTCTTTTTGGCATTTTCATCTTAATATTTTGAGTTAAATTATGAAAAAATACTTCTAAAAGATTGATATTTTGTTGATTTATTTTGTAATTTTGTTGTCATTTATTGAACGAATTTTTATGCTTAGAAGATATATTGTAATATTGATTTAAATTAAATGACATCTTTTTAAAGAAATTATATATTGAATTATACATGCTTATATGTATTTTTGTAAACTCATGTTTCTTGTTGGATGAAAAAGAAAATTAATATGAGCATGTGAATTGAATAAAGCTTGTAGAATATTATAAATGTATTGACACATAACTCACTGAATTTCTCGTATGGATTTGTCTTCTTTTTCTGTTTTCTTTTGAATTGGCACAGTCAATGTCAAGTTGAAGGGATTTTAATGTTAAAATACAAGGATTAAGCTATCAACAGTTTAGAGCCTGGTCAGAGACAACACAGATATAAGCAGTCTGCCATGGCTCTGTCCTGGTGGGCAAAGTTTAACACTTTCTGATATAACAGGTTAAGGATTTAAAGTTTTTCACATTTCTACATTTGTCAGTTTCAGTTTTGAGAAGGCTAACTTTAAATCTCAGATTCCTAACCCTAAATTGTTCTGTAAAGGGCATTCAATTCCGTTAGTGACACATGGTAACTTCTGTCTTACCATAACCGTAAAAGACCGATTCATATTGACCCTAAATCTGCAGAAAGTGATTAGCCTTTTCACCAATAAAGAGCCAGGTCAACCTGCATATCAGTTTTACTGTTGTCTGACTATACAAAAACTTGATAATTGACACTTCAAGAAAGAAAATGGAAGCTGGACAAACCCATTGGTATATTATATGTTGAGGACTAGTCACCAATTTGTAGAAAAATATCAGTAAATGAAAAATAATTAATGTGATTTATTAGTGGAAGTAATGAGATTTTTGTTAATTGAATACTTGTTGTAGAATGATATGAGTCTTTTGCACTGCTGCATGATTTTTATACAGTTTGCCAGTAAATTCATTTAAGCAAATGTTAAATGCAGATATTTCCTATACATTCCAACAGTTTATTCAAACTACATGAACTAGGGAAGAATATCAAAAGTTGCATGTTCATTTTTTCAGTGGATTATATTGTGAAGCTAAATTGAGGGCTAAGTGCTCGGAGCCAGCTCTTGTGATCACCTAATAGTTAGAAGTTGGCAATTTCTCAGAAACGTTTAAATAAAGATGCATGCTGACTTTTAAGTCTAAGGTAACGTAAAAAAATTAGAAAAGATTACAATTATAGTGTAAGTAAGTATAAAAAATAACTTTATTGGTGATATTTTGAAATTTTATATGCAAAATACCACAATTTAATTTTTTATCACCATAATTCTTTTATGGGGGATCCGTGGCTGAGTGGTTAAGGATTTTAAACCACCATTGTGAGTTCAAATCCCGATAGGGACTTTAGATTATTTCATGTGAGGTACCTATCCATCTCGCGCACGGAACGTTTTTGCTTTTCCTTAAGTGCCGGTTCATGCCTGAAATAATGCACTGTACATAGGGCACCTGAGATCTTTCACCAGTATAGCTGGAAAGTCGGCATACATGGCATATGAACTAAACTGTATTGGAATAAGTAAAGTTCGTTATGTTTTTACACATTGGATTTTTTGTTTTATTGAAATTACCATTGACACAAATGCGTAGGTGCAAATTGAAAGAAATGGTTTCTCCATTTTACCTACATTCCGTAACAATGATATCGGACTTAGAAAACTTTTTATGTATATTTGTATTAATTTAGGTGAGGGAGACAAGCCCGTCTTTGGCGTCTTTTTTGTTTCATGAATCTAATGAATATTGTCATCGTGTTAACTTTTTACCTAACATATGTTAATTGCTTATGTCAAAAAAGATATCGGTGTATATTTTTTGCATTTATTTGTAATGTATGTTGATGAACATTATACATAATATTGAGGAACTGCATAGATTTATAAAACAAAATGTGTTGTTGGTTTCTTTACACAAGATGTCAGTTGTGGTATGTTGAGCCTTTTATGGTCTGTCTCGGAAAAAAACACCATAAAATCAAATCATCTCGAGCCCATTTCATATTTTATCTGAACTGTCATTGCTTTAGTTTAACAATAGCTTTGTTTTCATACATGTCCATGTTTAATTTGTAATAATCTGTCATCTGTCCAAAGTATTTTCTCTCAGTGTTCGTCTACATTAGATGGATTCTTGCAAAATTGGCAGTTGTCATCTAATGAAATATAATTTGACAAAAGGATGACTCCTCATGAATATAAACTTGATAATAAAAAAGTATCGATCTGAGGTATGTCAAGATTTTATCAAGGAATGTTTCTATATAAAGCTTTCTATTTACTATAGGCTGCTCAAACCTATAATTGATAACCTTAAATGTCCTTCATAAGTTACTTATCATGCGCCCGTTTGAAAAACGGGTCGTATTATAGCTCCCTGGCGAGTTGGCGTCTAATTTTGTCCGGAGCATATCTCCTACATGCATGGAGGAATTTCAATGAAACTTCATAGAAATGTTCATCAAAATGAGAAGCTATGTCACGCACATGAACCAGGTCAAGGTCACACATAGAGGGTCAAATTTCAGATAATGATAAAAATGTGTATTCGGACCATTTGGTCATCATTTATAGAGGGGTTGAAACACAAAAGGTCATTATCATGAATACTGGTATGACACATGTAATTTAGGTTAAAATAATGCAAGGTCAAGGTCACTTAATATGATAATCAAGATAACTAAAGTTGATAAAATATATATATTTTTGTCCAATGCATCTCCTACACATATGGAGGGATTCAAATGAAACTTCATACAAATGTTCACCACTATTAGAAGCAGTGTCATGCGCATAAACTAGGTCATTGAAAAACGCTCGTCCGGAGCAAAACTTCTCATGTGTACATGCATTGAGGGATTTCGATATAACTTGACACAAATGATCACCATTATAAGGCAAAGTGTCTCGTGCAAAGTTCATGTCCCTGCGGGCAAAGTCAAGGTCACACATATAAGTTAAATATCATATAAAACTATAAAAATGTGTATTCGAACCATTTAGTAGCATTTATTGAGGAATTCAAATACAAATGATCATTATAATTACTATGGTTGTGAAACATGTTATATAGGTTAATATATGCTTGGTCACTAAAGCTGATAAAATAAATATAAATTTTGTCAAGAACATATCTCCTACACGCGTGGCGGGATTCTAAAGAAACAAAGAAATGTTCAACACTATCAGAAGCAGTGTGGCGTGCACGAACCGTGTCTCTGGGTTAAAGGTTAAGGTCACACTTGTAGGTCATTGAAAAATGCTTGTTAGTAGCAAAACTTCTACATTCACTATGGGACTTTAATGTGACTTGGCACAAATTAGCATTGTAAGGCTAAGTATTGCGCGCATAATCCAGGTCCCTGCTACCAAAGACAATGTCACATAGAGTGATTAAGGTTAAGATAAAAGCACAAGATGTGTATAGGGACCATTTAGTCATCATTTATTGATGGATTGTAACACAAATGTACAAGTGTGGCACCTGCAATTTAGGTTAATATTTGCAAGGTCAAGGTTACTAGAGATGAGAAAATATCCAAATATTGTCCGGATATTGCCCAGAGCATATCTCCTATCATATCATATCTATTATGCCCACATCTCTGTCAAAAGCTTTTGTGATGGGCATAGTTTGTGAAAGTGTTGCCCTTGTCGACACTTTAGAAAACAGTATGGTTTTAGATGGGTAGGTGGCATCCGTGGCGAGTAGTTAAGGTCGTTGACTTCAAACCACTTTAAGTGCCCCTCACCGCTGTGGGCTCGAATCCCGACAGGGATTTGGATTATTTCATGTGAGGAAGCTACCTAACGGAACGTCGGTGGTTCTCCTCAGGTGCCCGTTCGTGCTTGAAATAATGCACAGAAAGGCACCTGAGGTCTTTTCCACCAGTACAGCTTGAAAGTTGTCACTTGATCTATACTGTGTCGGTGCGACATAAAACCCACTCTAACAAACAAACTAAGACTTTAGCAAATTTATAGAATAAAGTGTGAAATTCTTTCTTTGCGTGCCTGTTTGTTGGTTGTTTTAGGCTTATATTTGTATACGCGTCTCTGATGCTCAAAGCTCTGGTCGGCATTGTGCAGATGCGGCTCTTGTCTTGCACATTTTTCCCTGATTTCAATTGCTTTGTCAGAAAATGATGTTTTTTCCCTTCGACATGTAACTTAATTAGTGGTCTCGAGAAAAGTTTACCTGTCTTTATTCTTTATCACAAACTTTGTAGCAGGAGGGTTAACATAAGGGCGGTTCCAGTACTAGGTCCCTGTCATTAACAACCGTAATACCGTGTCTAAATAAAATTAAAGCATAAGTTAACCTTTCGATAAACACTATTTACCGTTTATATAACATTACGTGAGAAGAATGGAAATCTAGTTTATCTTGTCAATTAACCGTTATTAATTAAGATCACATATTAAACAGTTTTTTTGCCTTAGCCGAATATATATTAAAATGGGTTCTCTTTACGAAAAAAAAAGAACATTAAAAATGATAAGATAATAACTTATGTACCTATAAAGACAAGTGTTGAACATTTACAGTATTAAAATTTTCTATACTTTTATCTTACTCAATGTAAATACTTACGTTTATGCTCAAGTGTGGTTTTTGAAAATACTGATAAATGTCAGTGTGTGGTCCCTTTTTAAATGTAAAATAAATATCTTTTGTTTGCATATAGATAATTATGTTTCATTTTATAGGTAAACAATGTGTATCAATACATACATGTAGTGTCATTGGAAATTCTGGCTGGCATTTTTGAAAAAAAAATTGCAAATTGAGTAAATCAGTAATAGGGAATGCAGTTTTCCAAACATAGTTTTCAGGTTCTCTATTTCAAACATTTTTTACGGTTTCTGTTTAGTGTGACAAGTTGAGAATGGATATGTTGAACAAAAAGTGTGCTGTTTTCGGTTTTTTTCATGTAACTGGCTATATTTTTGTTATTTTTTAATTATTGAATGGATCGGTTTTATAACATTGACCTTGAAAGTTAAATTTAATTTATTAAATTTTCACTGGTTTTTGCTATGATTGACAGTAACTTGGTAATTGATATGTAGATTATCTCTATACTTTAACAAAACAACATTTTTGAAGAGACCTTCTAAAAAGTTGAACTTACTTTGACCTTGAGTTTTAATTGACATTGACTGTGAATGTCAATTAATTTTGTTTTTTATGTACGTATTTGATTTAAACTTGAACCAAACAAGACCTTCTACCATACAAACATATTAAATAATTTAGATGAGATCTTGACCTTAAATTTATCTTGACCATTAAGGTCAAATAATGAAATTCTTTTGTGTTTTTTTTTTCTGTAACTTGCTATAACTTTGTTATTCATAAATGCGTAAGACACAGCATATTTTTGATCAGGACCTTCATTTATATCAAACACAAATTGACATTGACTTATGTATGACATTGAAGGTCAAATTATTTCGTTTTCACTGATATTGCTGTAATTGGCTTTAGCTTTAAACTTACTACTCAACCTGCTGGGATAAAAAGTGATCAACCGTTGCTATCAGTGAAATAGAGCCAGGCCAGTCTGTACATCCGTGCAGTCTGACCAGGCTCCATGTTGTTGGCAGCTCAATTTTTAGCTCACCTGTCACAAAGTGACAGGGTGAGCTTTTGTGATCGCTTTTCGTCCGTCGTCCGTCCGTCGTCCGTCCGTCCGTAAACTTTTACTGTAAATGACATCTCCTCATAAACCACTATGCCAATTTCATCCAAACTTCACAGGAATGTTCCTTTGGTGGTCACCTTTAAAATTGTCAAAGAATTTAATTCCATGCAAAACTCTGATTGCCATGGCAACCGAAAGAAAACACTTTAAATATCTTCTATTAAAAAACCCAAATAGCTAGAGCTTAGATATTTGGCATGAAACATCTTCTAATGAGTGTCTACCAAGTTTGTTCAAATAAAAGCCCTGGGGTCAAAATTGGCCCCGCCCCAGGGGGTCATTGATTTTCCCTATATGCATATAGTAAAAACTTAAAAAATCTTCTTTTAAAGAACTCAAAGAGCTAGAGCTAAGATATTTAGCATGAAACATGTTCTAATAGGTGTCTACCAAGTTTGTTCAAATAAAAGCCCTGGGATCAAAATTGGCCCCGCAATGGGGGTCATTGATTTTCCTTATATGTGTATAGCAAAAACTTAAAAATCTTCATTGAAAAAAACCAAATAGCTGGATTTTAGATATTAAACACGAAACATCTTCTAGTGAGTGTCTACAAAGTTTGTTCAAATAAAAGCCCTGGGGTCAAAATTGGTCCCGCCCCGGGGGTCATTGATTTTCCTTATATGTGTATAGCAAAAACTTAAAAATCTTCTTTGAAAAAACCCAAATAGCTAGAGTTTAGATATTAAGCATGAAACATCTTCTAGTGAGTGTCTACCAAGTTTGTTCAAATAAAAGCCCTGGGGTCAAAATTGGCCCGCCCCAGGGGGTCTTTGATTTTCCCTATATGCATATAGTAAAAACTTAAAAATCTTCTTTTAAAGAACCTAGAACCTAGAACTTTTAAAGAGCTAGAGATAAGATATTTAGCATGAAACATCTTCTAGTAAGTGTCTACAAAGTTTTTTTTCAAA